CACCAGACAGGTGTCCTCAAGGACGAGGTGCTGGAGCGGTCCTTCTTTGGGACCTACCAAACTCTCAGGCTTCCCTCCCTGTCCTGGTAAAGAAGACCTGGACCTCTGCCTCATATTTAGGTGCCTTGGTTTGCACTATTGAGAGAGGGATGACAATAAAATGAGGTTTTCAATGAAGCATTATCCTTTATAGTATGAAATTCTGGGCCAAAATTTATATATTTAGGATTCACCATCTTCTGACTAAAACGTAGAAGCCATAACTTCAGAAGTGACTCATCTATTCTCATATAGGTCTTTGCAAAAGCCCCATCTTGCCTATTTAGGTCATTTAATAGAAAACTTCAGACTTTGCCCTATATTCTCAGACCTCACAACTTCCCTCTCCTTACATGTCTCCCAAAAACAACCACAAAACTACTTTTCGTTCTTCATTGTTCCACTCAGTCTTAGAGCTCTTTCAGGGTTGCCAGACATCTTAAACTTACCTGCTTCAGCGCTGAGCTTTATTTTCTATTGCTATCCCCTTCTTTTGCCCCTGCCTCCCCAACCCTCCTCATTACATTTGGTAACAATGGCAATTTCTATCAGCCATCCTACTTCCTTCAAACTAATATCTGGCAAAAATATGGGGTAACCAATAGAAAGACATGTACACTCATCTTTAAGGCTAGAAACTCTTGATCCCCTGAGGTTTGATTCAGGATTAGTTGTTTAGAGCGGCAGCCAAAGTGGCCACAGCAAACTTCCAGTTGATTGGCTCACGTGGCCCCAGCAAACTTCCAGCTGATTGGCTCACTGCAGCCCCAGCAAACTTCCAGCTGATTGGCTCCTCTGCGCTAAGCTCATTGGGCTATTTCCCTGCCCTTTCAGAACACGGAGCTGCTCATTGGGGGATCTTTTGGCTCCGCCMATGCGACCCAGCCAATCGGCYTTAAGAGCGGGAAGAGTGCCAGTTGAGCTGCTCGGAGGAAGTGCCCCAGGTGTGCTTGCTAAAAATAAAGTTCGTTGGTGCTTGATAAGTGGCTCCTGAATTGTGCCCAGACTGTGGCAATTAGTGGTATCTAAAAGACTTTCTCCTAAATCACAATTATTTCCGTGATCCATTAGTTCATATGTAATTAAGGGAAAACATTTTAGGTAGCAGCAACTCTGTTACTAGTGGAGAGGTCATTTCCTCATAATCCAAGCATTTTATTAGACTGGATTAACTGGGAAGAATTCGTGCTTGTTTGGCTGGAAAGCTAGGCAGAATTGCCAGTGAGAACTAAGCGCCTGACCTGGAGGGTTTGGTTAAGTCATTCTGGGCATTGCAGTTCATGGGCCTGGCGTTGTAAACGACAGACAACTTTGTCAACTTTCTTTTCTCAAGACACATTCTCAAGAGTCAGGAGTGGCAAGAGGGAAGAATTCATTATAGGAAGTCACTCCTCTGATCCAGTTCTGAAGTGCAGACTGAAGCTTCTTTCTTGTGAGTTTCACCCCAATGATTTTTATGCAGGTATTTTTTGTTTTTGTTGTTGTTTTTGTAGTGCAAAAACAATAACATGCATGCTATGCAAGCACTCTTATCACTGAGCAATCTCCCTAGTCCACCCTGTAGATTTAGAAGACTCAGTGGAGAGGGTGGTAAAGTGGACAATAGGAAGAGGTCTAGACTCTAATAATTGAACAGAGGATCCCACCTTTAGCAAGACAATAACCCACCCAGTTTTTCCAGGAATTTGTGCTGAAGAATGAGGATTCATGTCATTCTCAATATAGAGATGTTAATGTCCATCTTCCAAGGCACTGGAGGAGACCCAACAATCTGTTAATGAGGCTGTTAGTTTTTGTAAAATTTTAAATATATTTAAACTGTAATTGATTAAGATTGATGTCTCAAAGCCAGGTGTTGTAGTACACACCTGTAATCCCAGAGACTGGGAGGCTGAGGCAGGAGGATTGCAACTTCTAGGCCAGCCTCAGAAACTTAGTAAGGCTTTAAGCAACTTAGTGAGATCCTGTCTCAAAACAAAAAATAAAAAGAGCTGGGGATGTGGCTCATCAATGGTTATGCACCACTGGGTTCAATCCCTGGTACCAAAAAATAAAGATTGATGTCTCTTTCCTTTCTGACTTCCCCTGCATCACATTTCCCCTTTTGTTAGTTGGCAGTAGAGAAGCCATGGACATTTGGGGATTGGCTAAGGAAGCTGAGTTGGGGATACACTTTGGGTTTAGCTGGTATATAACATGGTTTGTAGTTGCTTTTGTGAATACATTATCTGCGTGTAGGTATAGTACTATAGACTGAACTGTGTACCCACTAAGCTCATGTTAAAGTAGTAACCTCCAGTGCCTCAGAATGTAACTATTTGGACATAAGATCTTTAAAAATAAATTAAGTTAAAATGAAGTCTTTAGGGTAGGTTCTAATACAATATGACTGTTGCCCAGAAAAGGAAATTTAGACATAGAAATGTCTAATAAATTAAGTATGTGATAGACCCAACCTGATTTTCTTTTAAAATTGGGAGCCATCTCGCCACAAAGCCATGAAAAGCTAATTTYRGCTTTACTATAAATTACTGTAAATTCTGAACCTGCTTGGAATGCCTGCCCGTGCCTTGAACTCACCCATGCCTGGCTCTCTGGCCAGATAGCAGCCTTCTCTGAAACTTTAGTGACATCTCATAAATATTGGCCTTCCCTGGCCAGATAACGACCCTTTCTGAGGCTCTAATGACCCTCATAAATTCTGATGTTGGGGCCAGCAAAAATGTAAACTACCATTTGTGTTATGCTCATCAGAGTTTTGTTATCTGTAACCYCCCTTTGTGTAACTTGCTAGGCTATAAAGCTGGGCTGCAGGAAAGCTGCAGCTGCTATCTTGTTCCCACGGGGTTTTGGGTGGGAGAGGCAGCCTGGCCGGTTGAAATAATAAGCTTGCTTTAATTTGATTTTAATTAGAGTCAGTGGTCTTTTCTTGCGTCTTGGTCTAACATATGCACAGAGGAAAGATCACATGAAGATGTATGGAAGAGGGCTATCTTCAAGCCAATGCAAGAGGCCTCAGAATAATATCAATACCTTGATGTTGGACTCCTAACCTCCAGAACTGAGGCAACAGATTTCTGTTTAAGCCACTCAGTCTGTGCTGTTTCATTACAGCAGTCCTAGAAAACTAATACATAGCTTCCAAGAATAATGTCATCAATTCAAAGACTCAATTAGTCATTGCAAATTTAAAATACTCCAAAATCTTACATCATATTTCTGAAAGAAATTTCATAGAAACTTTTCCAAGTTTGAAAAAAATCGTGGGCTGGGGATGTGGCTCAAGCGGTAGCGCACTCACCTGGCATGCGTGCGGCCCGGGTTCGATCCTCAGCACCACATACAAAGATGTTGTGTCCACCAAAAACTAAAAAATAAATATTAAAATTCTCTCTCTCTTCTCTCTCTTTAAAAAAAAAAAAAGAAAAAAAATCCTAAAGGTTTTTGTAACAGTCATTTATAGCTAGGCATGGTGGTTGTAATCTCAACTACAAGGGAGACTGAGGCAGAAAGATTCAAGTTCGAGGTTCTCTGGGCAATTCAGCAAGACCCTGTTTTCAAAAATAAAAAAAGGATCCCAAGATGTAGCTCAATGGTGGAGTGCCCCTGGGTTCAATCCCCAGTGCTGGAAAAAAAATTTAAAAACAACAAAAACCCCACAAAGTGTGAAGATAAAACTTTTCTAAATTTTCAAGAATTTATAAAATGTGATTATGCTAAGAAGACTGAATTTTCTTTTTCCTTTTTTATCCCTTCCCAGTACTGGGGAGTTACCTAGGGGCTTCTGCATGCTAGGCAAATACTGTACCTCTGAGTTACAGCCCCAATCCTTTTTATTTTACTTATTTTTGTGGTACTAGTGATTAAACCTAGGGACACTCTACTACTAATGTGCTACACTCACAGCTCTTTCCCTTTTTTTTGACAGGGCCTTGCTAAATTGTCCAGGATGACCTCGAATTTTCAATCCTCCTGCCTCAGCTTCCCAAGTAGCTGGGATTACAGGCACGTGCCACTGCACCTAGCTTCTTTATAGGAAACTTTATATAATAATGATATGAGCTGGGCACATACCTTTAAGTGGCACATACCTGTAATCCCAGTGGCTTGGGAGGCTGAGGCATAAGGAGGCCCTAAGCAACTCAATGAGACCCTGTCTCTAAATAAAATACAAATAAGGGTTGGGGATGTGGTTCAGTGTCCCTGGGTTCATTCCCCAGAATCGGATTAAAAAAAAAAAAGATATGAAAAGGCTATTAAAGAGTGTGTATCTCAAAAAAAGAATTATAGAAAAAAATGTATAGGTTTTCCAGGCAGATAATTTTTTGGCAGATTTTTAAAAATTCCAATTTCTTGAGATCTTTTCTCATTTAAAAAATACTCACACAAGTATTTTTTAAATGAGAAATTTGTGATTTTGTATTTACTTTTTCTTAAAAGGGGCTCCAAAAAAATTGTATCCTCAGGCATCCAGAAAACTGAATCTATCCCTGGTACTATCCAAATGGATATGGTGAGTTTCTATCCCAATTAGGGGAACTGTGCTCCAGKATTCTGTATCTTGACTTCTAGAAAATACTAAAGTAACATGTTACAGGAAGCAAGAGGGCTAACTAGACAGAAGTATGAGTATTAAGAATTTGGGGTATGGGCTGGGGTTGTGGCTCAGTGGTAGAGTGCTCACCTAGTGCGTGAGAGGCCCTGGGTTCAATCCTCAGCACCACATAAAAATAAATAAATGAAAAACAAAGGTATTGTGTACAACTAAAAGAAATTTAAAAAAAAAAGAATTTGGGGTAGACTTAGATTAGCAAAGGCTGCATTGAAGTTGTTTGTGAAAGAAAGGGTTCAGACAAATCTATTGCTAAATTAGGATGTCAGACACCTGGAAAAGAGGTCAGGGCCACAGAACCCCTAGGCAATAAGTTATGGAGAGAACCCCTGAACAGCTCCATACTCACCTCTCCTTGGGTGCCTGCTCCTCATGCTGACTCTTCCCTTCAACATTTCTGGTTTCACTTACAATATCCAAGAAAGAGTAGGTGCTCTGCAGTGACATCACAACTTGGCCATTATGATGTAATGAGGAGGCATCTGATTATGCTCCAGCTGGTGCTTCCCTATGAGGAACATTGTTGTCTCATTACCTTGTGAGTAACTGGATTCTTCCATCATTCAGGTGATGTGGGAGTCAATCCTGTTAGAACTTGATCTTTTGTGCAAGTACTTTGATATTTATTTTTATCATTCCATTATGGGTCAGACAGAGGTTCTTGCTTTTCTACATATTTCTCATCCTTTATTTTTGGGTTGCCCTTGATAAGCAAGGGGCTTTAAACTTCCCTTTCAATGTTTAAGGGGCAGAATACAACGCAGATGGCTTCTTAAGGAAGAAGATCCCCAACTCAATAGGAAATAGGGCTTTTCCCAATCTGTTCCCTTTAAACGCACCAGCAGCTGGTGCTGGGTGTCAGCTAGGCCCTGGTGACTTTCTCACCATGCCAAATGGTGGTGGGATCCTGTTGGGCTATCTTATACCAGGGCTGCCCAACTCCTCCATATCTCCTTCCCATTCAACTTATACAGAGCCTATTCTCCAGCAGAATAGGAATAGGAATTTTAAGAAATGAAATGACTTTTAAGAAATGAAAGTWATTTAGAGGGGGTTTTCAGGGAGGGAATCTTGCTCTGAATCCCTTGCTGTCTCAGTCCAAAACAAAAAATACTTCCAAGTACCTCATGTTTTCTTTTCAGATTTCAACTTTATTTCAAATATGAAATTTTGTACCCAGAAGGAAAGGCAACTGCATGAAGAATTTGAAATGAGGCACAATACTACTGGAATGGGTTTGGGGTGAGAACATTAGTTTTGGGGGGATTTGCATAGCAAATTTTCATTCTTTCCCTGGGTTTGCTATTCAATAGGTGGACTATTCAGTCTCAAGGTCAGTGCTCTTTGGCAGTATCTCCAAAAGAATTCCCAAAGTTGGGGAAACAAGAGCCTTTGTTTTTCTTTGTGCTTGGAAGAGGAAGGGAATGGAAACTAGTAGGAAAAAAAATAAAACATTGTTATCTCTTATGAAAAATCTTGGGGCTGTTCCTCAGTCAGGGTGTGTGTGTGTATGTATGTCACACATACATATACATACACATTTTTTTTTTTAATATTTATTGTTTAGTTTTCGGCAGACACAACATCTTTTGTTTTTGTATGTGGTGCTGAGGATCGAACCCGGGTCGCATGCATGCCAGGCGAGGGCGCTACGGCTTGAGCCACATCCCCAGCCCCCACATACGTATTATTTTTTGAGACAGGGTTTCACTAAGTTGCTTAGGGCCTTCTCAGTTGTTGAGACTGGTTTTGAACTTGTGATCTTCCTGCCTCAGCATTCCGAGCTGCTAGGATGTGTACCACCACAGGTGTGTGTCACCACACCTAACTCAGCCTGGTAATATAATATAGTCAGGAAGCTGAGTTAAGCCCATTTTCAGTCACACAAATTTTCTGATCCTGATGAGGTCAGTTCTCATCTCTGGACCTGTGTGCTCCTCTGTAAAGAAGCCTCAACCTAATGGTTTCTAAGATAAGCCTTTCAGGTCTCTGATGTTATAACCTGTATTAACAAGATCCAAAGGAACTCCAGAGAAACACAGGAGTTAGAAGCAAGGGAAYGTGGGAATTAACTTTCATAACTCTATGAAAAAAGTTGATCAGATAGGGCTTATTATGTAGAGAAGTGATGAACTACAATCATAAAGAGAAACAAAGGAACAGAAGGAAGGCTATAGGACAAGTGTAGGACAATTTCTGAGTTCTGGATAAGAAAAGGGACACAGTATTCCTTCCTAGAGGGTTGCTTAAGGATCAACTCCCTGACTTCTCTTGTGGCACTTCCCAGTTCATGGCTACCATGTTATATTCCAAATTGTTCCTGTTCATAAACCATCAGTTTTTAGAGTCTTCACCATAATTGCTTAATGCATAACATATAATAGGGCCCCTGCCCCATGATTCAAACTTTCCCATGTCACTAGCTAGGGAAAGTCACTGGTTGCAGCAGTCTAGGGTGTACCCTTCTGTGCTTACCCTTCTGTGTAAGAAATATGGATGGGACTTGATGGAAAGGGCATATTGCCTAATATTGGTAGCTCAACCCAAGGTGAGGAAAAGCCAGCCTATAGGGACATATCCTGGAACAGTAGTACATACCAAAAGGACCAGGCATACAAAAGTCTCTCAAGGTATTTGTTTCTTCCCTATTTTACAAGGCTTGGTGGTACTGTTAGTTGTTTAAGTCCATATTTAAAATATGAAGCACCCATTATGCATGTGTGCAAGGAGGCTCAGCCCAGGCCCCCATCTTGGGGCAACAATAGGGAAAACTGTCAGCTTACTCCCAAGCCCTGCAACAGTTTAATATGGGAAGAACTGGAAGAATCTCATTTTTTTTTTTTCGTTGTGGTGCTGGGGATTGAACCCAGGGCCTTGGTGCATGTGAGGCAAGCACTCTACCGACTGTTATATCTCCAGCTCCAGATTCACATGTTATTCTATAAAGCTGAGAACAGACCTATGACTGAGCCACTGATTCTTTCAGAGAAAGAGCTCAAGGGATTAGGATTATCCCTAGTTCCTTTTCTCTGATCAGAGTTGGCATTTTATCCACTTAGTAATACTAGAGATCCCAGTGAGCCCAGGCCCACACCCTAGCTGAGGACCTTTCTAATGGAAACACCAGGGAATTGACCTTCAAGGCTAGTGGAAAAGGAGAGGTGGTGGCACATTAACAAGTATGGAGGATTGGCGACAGCCAATGTACAAGAGAATCCCAATGTACAAAAAGGGTGGAGTATGAACAGGTTTCCAACTTTTCTAGCACACGGATGGGTCCTTGTTGATCCTGCAGATCTGGCATAGGAGATAGCAGCAAATTCCTGGGAGGAACAGATGAAGCCTGGGGCTCTTAATATCTTCTCCAAGTCAGTTCAGGGAAATGGGAAGATGGGAAAGCAGAGCACAATCAGGAATTATGTTTTTTTCTTATTAAGAGATGACATAGCAATATTTTTAATTTTGTCTTTTTTAAAGAATAATAATGCAGGGAACGGGTTGTGGCTCAGTGGTAGAGCACTTGCCTAGCATGCATGAGGCACTGGGTTCATCCCCAGTACCACATAAAAATAAAGAAATAAAATAAAGGTATTGTGTCCATCTACAACTAAAAAAAAAAAAAATAAGAATGCAATATCATGGTTATGTACATGGGCTCTGCAGATTTCTTGGGTTCACAATTCATGTACTAGCTGTTTTTTTTTGTTTGTTTGTTTGTTTGTTTTTGGTACTAGGGATTGAATCCAGGAGCACTTTACCACTGATCTATATCCCCTGTCCTTTTTATTTTAAAACAGGGTCTCATTAAATTTCAGAGGCTAGCCTTGAATGTGCAATCCTCCTGTTTCAGCCTCCTGAGTCACTGGGATTATGGAGTGTGCCGCTGCACCCTGCTTAGCTATGAGATCTTGAACAAGACGAGAGTTTCTCCAGGGCTTATCTTTAATAGAAGAGGAATAATGATAATACTCAGGATTATTTTGAGCATGCACGTAAAACAGATTTTAGCAGATAAATGTTAAGAAAATGGGCTATTACTACTGTTAATGTGATATAACGGTAACACATACAAGTCAGGCAAGACATTATTAGACAATGAACCTCAACCCAGACTTCCTGGGTTCTCATTGATGATTAAACCGTGCATTGCTTGGTGACTTCCAGTAATTTCTTTCTTCACTTTGCTGGAACTCTGACCTGAGGTTGACCTACAAGATACATGAAATTCTTTTTTTCCCCACTAGATTATGATGATTTGCTTGAGTAAAGATCCAGAGTTCCTTTCTTGCCTCAAAGGATTAAGGCTGTGAACAGTAAAAGCATTTAAACAAATCCCATATTTTATTTTGAATACATGTGTGGGCACATGTACATGTCCCCTTCACTCAGAGTCACAGAATAAGGGGAGACAGAAGTTTTTGAGAAATTAGTAATGAAAAAGGATGTGGGAAGCTGGTTACCTTAAGGCTCCTTGTTCATCTGTAACAACAGGAACTGCTTCTTTCCCCTTTTCTCCCTTTAGAAGACTGTCAAGAAGGAGCCTGAGGGAGGAAGGTGGATCAACCATGGTCTTGGAGAAAAGGAAGTAGACTCTCTACCCCTTCTGGAGGAAGAAGGAATAGCAGAGATCAACTAAGAATGAAGAGGGAAAGGGAGAAAATATAGGTAAATGACCTAGAATAAAAGTAAATACCTTACATGTTCAAAGAAAAAAAAAAGTGATGAAAAGGGAGAGGAACAAGAAAAAAAGCAAAAAGCAAAGAGGTTAGGTATAGGGTAAGAGGAAAGGAAACTAAGCAACCAGGAAAGAAATAACTCCCATGTTAAGGTTAACCAAGAGAGACATGAATGGGAATGGGTAGAAGAGTCAGCTTTCCCATTTCACTGGCTCAGAATATGGATAAGACTGCCATCTTCTGGTGTCATTTGTCAAGTTGCTCTCATTCTTGATGTTTTCCATTCTTTATTCTCAAGAGAGATCCTGTCATTCTTTCCTTTCATCTGGGGGCTCTCAATCATATCCCCAACTCAGATATACTTCCCCAAAGCTGTCTCAGAGCATCCAGGCTGGAAATCTCTGGAGGCAAGAGCAAAAAGCAAGGGGCAGTRGATGTGCCATGGTTGGAAAGACGCTACTGGGTGATTGTGGAATACTTTCTGGGTTCTGAAACATTCTTGCCCCAAACTGGAGGACCCCTCCTCAGCCACAACCATAAGCTCGGGGCTTTGTCTCCTGAACTAAAGTAAAAGGTTGAAAAATGTGGCTTCTAATCTACACTATTACAATGCAGATGATAAAATGTCAAACAAAATGGAGCTGTAGAATAACTACATAAACCAAATCCAATTTCCCAAGAAGCAAAGTGGGGCCCAAAGAAGTACAACTTGCTTAAAGTTGTACAGCCAGTCAGTGACTTCTTTTTCTTCTAAACCAGAAGCAACAAATCAGAATAGTGATTTTTTGATTCACTGTTCCTTGACAACAGTCCATAAAGTGCTTAGAGGTTATTAAAAGGTACCCAGAAATATAAGGCTGACATTTTTCTGGAAGCCCCTGAGTAAATCAACACCTTAGGTGCCCCATTATTGGGCTACAAGGACAGGCTTGGGGTTGCTTTTGCCTCGATTATAATCCGGAACTTGCCTGGAGGACGGAGAAAATAGTTCTACCTGTCATCATTCCCCAGCCAATACATGAAAATTTTAGGGAGGAACTGTCGGGTGATAAGGGAATCCTGTCATGCCAGGGTCCAGAAGGAGCAATGGCCAAGTTCCTAGGATTAAGCAAGGCAATTATGGCTGAGATAAAACTAGGATGGGCAAACTGAGGGACCTGAGGTGGCAAAAGCCGAAAAACGGAAATAAACCTGCAATCCGTTGACTTCAAATGGGATGGATTATTTCACACGTCACACCTCCTCAATCCATAATGCCTCCTCAAATCCAAAGACTTTCCTAACATTTGATGCCTAGGCCTGCAACTCACTCTCTCCCAGTGACCATTCAGCAAAGAGGCTACCATCATCCCCCTTCTTTAGCTTTCTTCTAATCCCTCCAGCGTCCTTTCTGGTTTCCTTTCTCCCTTGCCTTGGGTTCTTTTCACTCACATCCAGCCAGCATTTTCCACCTCGAGTTCCCCAAACCTTGTTGATTTCTCCCACCTTCCTCGCCCTCTCCCACCTGACTGGGACCTCTCCCGGTCAATCTAAGTTTCTCCCACTCCTCCCGCCACATTGGTTTTCCCCTGCCCCCCGGGTGCCTTAGTTTTTTTCTGCCATGGGCTGCGGACGTCTTGTCTTAAATAAAGTGGATCCAGCCCTGGGGCTCCGGGGCTCCGCCACTGCCCGGATGCTCGGGCCCACGCAGAGCATAGTCACGGCCGCCGTTGTTGTCCCAGAACTCGCGACCCGTCACACGGTAGCGTAGGGCGAAGAGCAGGGCGCCCCCAATGGGCGGCGCTGGAAGACGGAAGGCGAAACGATCTGCTCGCGGAGGGGGCGGGGCCGGGCCGGCGTAGGCTGCGGGCGCTTCGCGCTGGCTTCTCCAGCCGTCGGCGCTCCAGCGCACGCTAACGCGCTTCTCGTAGGCCAGGTCCAGCACGCGCGCGCTCCCAGCCACGCCCAGTGGGCCCGCCTCGGCGCGTTCCAAGCAGATTCGCTGCGCCTGTAAGCGGGCGGCGAAGCCGGGCTCGCTGGCCGGCTCTAGGGCTGCGCGCGCCTCCTGTGGGGGGTGGAAAAATAGGACAGGGAGGAGGGAGCACGGGGCGGGGAGTGGGAAGAGAAGGAGGCGGGGTCAGAGCGGGACACTGGACCAATCAGAGGCCGACGCGACGTCCGGGACAGCAGAGTGGGGCCCAGCTGAAGAGTGGCCTAGAGTCCTAAGCGAATGGACCTCAAAAGGGCTAAACAGGCGCAAGCCCATGGTTGGGGATGGGTGGGTGTTCCTTGACAAATCCACTCTCGTACGACCGCTGCGGCCGATAGGGACAGGTCCCAGGGAGTGGGGGCGTGCCCCGGCCGCCTACCTGGAGGCTTCGGGAGCGCGGCTGACAAGGCGCGAAGTGGCGGAGGGCGTCTCTTTGCAGCTGGATCTGCACGTGGCGGGGTACCCGGGGCAGCTCTCCGGGGCGGAAGCGGCGCACCGCTGCCAGCTCCAGCCCCAGCGCGTCAGCGAAACGCACTCTCTTGCGGGTGTCCGGGCTTCGGCTGCGGGGTGCCTGGGCCCCGCCGCCTCCGGCGGGTGCGGAACGGGCCCGGCGACCCCGACTCGGAGCGTGAGCGCGGGATCGGGCCCCCAGACGCGTCCCGCCCTCGGCTGGCTCCTCCTCCGGCTCCTCCTCGAGGCTGGGCCGCTGGCTGCGGTAGTAGGCGCGCTCGGTCAGCGCAGCTATAAAGCTCAGGTTGCGGGGTATGTCGGTGCGGGGGGGCCGCTCGCCGGACATGTTATCTCCCGCACCAGCGGGGCTGGTCTGCAGCACCCTGGGGCTGCCTTCCCTTCCTTTTGCCCGCTTGCCCTGCGTCCTCACAGAAGTCACCTGGGCCCACTTCAGAATCCCTTAGCCGTTGCGTACTCTCCTTGCTGTCACCTCCGGGATCCTCCACCTCCCGTTGCTCTGCATGGTCTCCGTAACCACCTTTCCCTCTCTCTGACCGTCAGCTCCCAGGGTTTTGGACTATCACATCCTTCCTCCTATGAGCTGTGTGCTCTGAGCGTGCGCTCCACGAAGCTTACCCTTGGGTTCTGCGGGCCTGAGTCCCGGACCCCGCCCCCGCCCCCGACCCTCTGACAGGTGGCTTGGTATCAGTCTTAACTGCTGCACCAGGGGGCGGGGACTCCATCCTTTTGATCCCAAGTGAAGCCACCAAGCCCCTTAAAAAAAAATTCTCAACCTTTCTGTCACGGAAAGGGTTAATACAGGAACGGAAAGGTAACCTTTCATTATTTTGAAGGTTCAAAACACCCAGAGTGTGACTGTCTTCAGGTCTCACTTTTTTTTTTCTTTTGCCCAGGCGTGGGAGGGGGGTAACAGTGGGTGCAAAGGAGGGAAAATCATGAACACTAGATAGAATTTCAAATAGAGGGTATGACATTGCACTCAAAAGGATTGGTGGTTGAACACGGCCCAGTGGAAAGAGGCTGGAACTGAGCAGTGGGAAAAACCTACAGCCTAGTCCCAGGTCTGGGACTGTTTAGCTTTGTGACCTTGAGCAAGACACAACTTCTCTGAACCTCTGTTTTCTCACCTCTGAAAAAGTGGGTTAAAATTCTGATTTTTTAAAATTTGTTTGATACTAGGGTTTCAACCTAGTATCCAGCCATTCCCCCAGCACTTATTTTTAATTTTGAGACAGGGTCTCATTAAGTTGCTGAGGGCCTTACTAAATTACTGAGGCTGGTCTCAAACTTATGATCCTCCTGTCTCAGCCAAGTCACTAGGATTACAGGCTTACACCACCACACTTAGCTTAGAGTTCTGATCTCTAACCCAACTGTAAAACTCTTTGAGGAGACACACTGTATGATTTATGATCAGTTTAGCACATGGTAAGTCTTCAAAGTATTGAATGAGTGAGCACAGAGTAACTCTTGGAGCTGGGACTGTAGGGTTCTAGTTCCAGTGGGAGCTCACTGGACTGAAGGTTGTAGGATTGGCTTTTTCTCCTTTTATTCTCCCCTATGTTAGTGAAAAAAACATGTGAAGTGTTTCCTTTTTTTTTTTTTCTAACTTCCCTACTGATCTTATGTAGCACGATGTGCTGCTATGTGCTGTTTTGAGAGTTTTACAAATATTAACTTATAAAATACAATTATCATAGGAGTAGGGAGTACTATTAGACCTATTTTACAGGTAAGTGTATCAAGGGAGAGAAGGGTTAGGACCCTTGCCCAAGGACACAGAGTTAATAATTGGGGATCTGGAATTGGAACCTCAGCAGTCCATTTCTAGAATTCACTTTCTTTCCATTTTGTTATACAAAATTGAAACATTTAATGAYAATGTTAACATCTTTAGAATATTAAAATAGGAAATGTTAGAGTGGAGATAAAATATCTAGATTTAGAACAGCAGGTAGTTTGAAAAATTACAACCCCTAGGTTGGAAATAAACAGTGAAACATGCTATCTTACTATCTACAATTCATGCCTGTTGTATTTTCACACCAGTATCAACCATAGTAATGCTATTTAGTCAGAACTTGTTTTTAAAACCATATTGAGTTTTATATTCTTATTTTACACATACATATTAAATCTGTGAACATATTTTCTTCATATCTTATGATGTAAAATAATCATACGCTAATTAAGGTTACAGTCAAGCAGTGTAAAAGGATTTTTCTTGCTTTGGTAAAACAGTGTGTCATTGAAGTAAAATAGATAAAGGTCAGCCTTTGTGACCTCAGGTTTTCTGGCAAAGGCTTTGTTGCTTTGTGCTATACCTTGGCTCTGCAGTGTTGATCTGAGAAGATACTTGAGATAAATAGCTTTGGACCGGGTATAAGTTATAGCTCTGTTTTGCTGGTAGCTCAGACTGACACTGAATCTTTATTCTAAATCAAATATCTTTTTCCTTCTTTCCTTTCTTTCTTTGTGTGTGTTGTACTGTGGACTGAATCCAGAACCTTGTACTAGTAGGCAAGTGCTCTATCACTGAGCTTACATCCCCAGACCTTTTTATTTTATTTTAAGACAGGTTCTCTCTGTGTTGCCAAGGCTGATCTCCAACTTGTGAAATCTCCTGCCTCCTACTCCCAAGTGGATAGGATTATAGGCATGCATCACTGTGTCCTGCTCAGTTTTTCTTTCTTATGCAGCTACTGCAGCAATCTTCAAATGTCTGGCTGGGACTATTCAATAACTGGCCAGAGGTGTCAATTGATTCATTCAGTCAATGTTTACTGGAGGCCTATTTGGCTACAAGGACACAAAAGTGAATAAACGTCAGTAGTTCTAGCTCTTGAGGAGCTTATAAATAAAAAGGCAAATATATTTGGACACTTAAGACATTTACTTGAAATTAAAAACTGGTGATTTATTACAAGTAAATGTCTTAGAAGAAACCAGGATTGCAAATAGAGGACTTAACTAGGTTAGCCTGAAAAGAAGTGGGCAGTCTTCCTGGTGGCAGCTAGAAGAATCAGCTCAAGAGCAAAGAAGAAAGGAGCATGGTTGAAAGAGAAAGCTATAAAGAAGTGGATTTGGTTGTACATTCAGAATGGAATAGAGAATTAAGTGTGGTACCAGCCATGGTAGTGCATACCACTAATCCTAGCTATTTGAGTAGTGGAAGCAGAAGGACTGCAAGCTTGAGGCCAGCCTCCACAAAAGGAAAAACAAAGAGAATTGAGTGTGGTCTTGTAAATAGTGTGGATTCTGTCAGAATAACATTGACTACTTGAAAGGGAAGAGATGATCTTGAGGTCAGGCAGATTTAGGTTAAGTGGCAGTTTCTTTCCTTATTAGTATATGGCTTTGGGCAAATTACTCAACCTTTCCAAGCCTCAATTTCCTCATCTGTAGAAAGGATAAAAGAGCATAAGGGTTGATGTGAAGATAATTTTTATTTATTTATTTTTGTGCTCCTGGGCATTGAACCTAGAGCCTACAAGCAGTGTACCATAGAGCTATATCTCCAACCTTTTTTTTTTTTTTTTTTTTTAAATTTTGAGACAGGATCTCACTTAAATTGCCCAGGCTTTCCCTTGAAATTGCAGTCTTCCTGCCTTAGCCTCCCAAGTAGCTGGGATCACAAGCATGTATCACAGCACCTGATTAGAATAAACTATTACACATATAAAGAAAGCACTGAGCACCTGGTAAGCCCTTACAAAATGTTAGTTACTATTATTGTTATACAGAGGACTTTGCTTCTCTCTTGACCGTAAGAACAGGTGAGAGCATCAAGGATTGTATTGGAGGTAGATGCAAAGGGTATGGATTCTGTAAGAATAAATGGAAAAGAACCAAAGGAAAGTAGAATTGGACTGCCACTTTCTGGCCTTTAGCTGGGGCTTTCTCCAAATGGAGTTGTGGAATTGTCAACTCCAAGAGCCCTGAGTGGCCTTGGAGTCGAATGCTTGTGAGCACCCTCAYGTAGATCATTTGTGGTGAAATTACTTCATGTCTTGTGAACTGCCCTTTATAAATGTATTGCCATTTATAAATAATATACATATATGTAATCTAGAAAGATAAACATTAACTTTATCATTGGCAACCTACAGTGAGGGAGGTGGAATTGGACAGGTACATGTGTGTGTGTATAGCTGAGTACTTGTATTTGATTACTCTCTGTCTCTCTATTGTTTGATTTTTTTTTTTTCCCCATGAGAATGAGTTCATGTGCTGGATAAAAAAAAAAAAAAAAAAAAAAAAGAGAGAGAGATTAAAAGGAAATCAATCTGATAACAAAAGAAGATGAAGAAAAGTACCTTTAGAAACTGCTTGGAATTTAAGTCCTGCCTGCCTGATGCCTGATTAAAGCCTCAGCCCTAGAAGAGACCACCAGATTAAAGGTCCTGGGGAAAAAGGGATTGGAAAGTTTTGGTCTCCTTGTGGTATTTGCTAGTCCCATAAGGGCAAGGCACCTGGCAGGAAGTTTCCAGTATAATGGGAACTGCTCCTCTTTTTAAGGCATACAATCCAGGGCTGGAACAATTCAACAAGTGCATGGAATATCAGAGACCTTCTAAAAATGCTGAATTTGAACCACGATGTTCTGAGGTCCAGGGTGTTTCTCTGGGCAGTCTCAAGGCTTAGCAGCTCAGCTCAGTCCAGCCCATGGTGTCTCTGCCTTCAGTGGCCCTCTCTTTCAGAGTTGTGGCCTTCCCAGGCCTGTGTGCGGCCCCGCCCCTCCCTCTGGACGCATCTCTGGGCCCCATCATCACCCGGCGCCAGGCCCTCCCTCCTGCCCCCCCTTCTCCTCCCTCCTTCCTTCCCTCCCTTCCTCCCTCTCTCCTTCCCTCCCAGCTGCTGCACCAGGAAACGGCCCGGATCCCAACAGCGGCCTGACCCGTGAGATCCCTAACCTGGCAGGCGGGCGGGGTTGGAGACCAGTTGAAGGTGGGGGTAAGGTAGGAGCTGAGCCTTTGGGCTGCACTGGGGGGAGCCGAGAGTAGAGATGGTGCCGGCAGGAAGCCCTTGGCCCTGGGTTTCCCGGGAGGACAGTCATTAAACATGGATTCAGCCACACAGCTGGTAGAGCGTTGGGRGCAGGGACCGGGTCCCAGGAGCTGCAACCCCAGCCCTTCTCAGGCCAGATCCTGATCCCTGGCCTTCCCTGCATATTTCTGATCTCTCTCACCCTTTTTCAGGGCTCCACGCTGGCCGGGAGGATGAAAGGCCCCAGCTGGGGGCTCCTTGCCACCAGCGCTGGGTCCTAAGAGCTGCCATCCAGGCTGGGTGAGTGTCCCTTGCCTTTCTATGTCCCAGCACTCTTTGGCTTCTCCCATATTTTTTCAGCCCTTATCTCCTCCCATCTTGTGCCTCTGCCAACATCTTCACATCTTGATTCTGGGTAGGTTTAAGCCCCTTCCTGTAGCCAAAAAGGTGTATACTATGGTGGGGGTGGGAGGGAGCTGTTGGGATGTTATAGAGCTGGTGTTATCTTATGCAAAGAATCTATTCTAAAAATAAAATTTCCTTGTTTTACATTTAATTTGGCATATAACAAATTCAGTGTCCATCCCCTAATGCCCTGGCCCTATGACATAATTTAAATCCCTTGTTTCTTGCTCTTTGGTGCCCAGGGGTCTCTGATCATACCTCCTCCCCCACCTCATCTTACTGAGTTGGACAAACCAAAAACACCCCTTCTGGGCCTCTCTATATTTCATGTATTCATGCCAGTCTTTCATCCTTGCCCCTTACAGCCGCCCGGATGGCGACCCCAGCCTCGGCCCCAGACACACGGGCTCTGGTGGCCGACTTTGTAGGCTATAAGCTGAGGCAGAAGGGTTATGTCTGTGGAGCTGGCCCTGGGGAGGGCCCAGCAGCTGATCCACTGCACCAAGCCATGCGGGCAGCTGGAGATGAGTTCGAGACCCGCTTCCGGCGCACCTTCTCGGATCTGGCAGCTCAGCTGCATGTGACCCCGGGTTCAGCTCAGCAACGCTTCACCCAGGTCTCTGACGAACTTTTCCAAGGGGGTCCCAACTGGGGTCGTCTTGTGGCCTTCTTTGTCTTTGGGGCTGCCCTGTGTGCTGAGAGTGTCAACAAAGAGATGGAGCCACTGGTGGGACAAGTGCAGGAGTGGATGGTGGCCTACCTGGAGACGCGGCTGGCTGACTGGATCCACAGCAGTGGGGGCTGGGTAAGAAGTTTCTCAAATGCTGCTCTGCACATCCCTCTGCAAAGCTGTTCTCCAGGGGGAATATGGGGGCTCTGACTGGAGGCTGGGACAGCTGTACTGGGAAGGAGGCATGGGGCTGAATTCCCCTATTTAGGTGGAGTCAGACTGAGGTTCCCTCACCGAGCATCACATTGGACTCTACTCCAGGGCTGCCATACAGTTATCACTGCATGGGCTTATGGTCCCAAGCAGAGGACAGAATACACAATACCCAAGAAGTGCCTGCAGGGAAAGGTGTTAACACCTGAGTATATGGCATGAGAGGTGGGGAGGATCAGGGATGGGTGGTGGTCAGGCAAGCCTTGGCAAAGGATGCCAGTTCTAAGCAGAATTTTTCATCAAGGAAAGGATGAGGCAGTGAGTGCAAGTGTCATAGGGCTGCACATGGGGGGATCAGAGGGCTTGCAGTTGGTAGAGCTTTGGCTGGAGAGGAGCTGGGTATGGGATAGTGCTCACAGTGGATGGAACTGGAACTCTTCCTCTCCTCTTCTCTCCACTCTTTCCTCTCCTGATATCCCTTTCTCCTTCTTTCTCTCCTACTTCCCTTCTCTCCCACAGGCGGAGTTCACAGCTCTATACGGGGACGGGGCCCTGGAGGAGGCACGGCGTCTGCGGGAGGGGAACTGGGCATCAGTGAGGACAGTGCTGACGGGGGCCGTGGCACTGGGGGCCCTGGTAACTGTAGGGGCCTTTTTTGCTAGCAAGTGAGAAAGTTCAGGGCCAGGTGGGGCTAGGTGTGGCTGGGGGCCAGGAGAGCAGGAACAGAGAACAAGAAGTGAAGTGAATGGTTGGGCATGGAACAGGGAAGGGGAGAGGTAGCATGTGAGGGAGTCAAGTATGCTAGGCAGGTGATTGAAAGAGTGAGCTACAGTTATTAAGGAGTTTTAGGAAAGTCAGAGGACCAGGAGATGGAGTCATTCCAGGGTTTTGGGGGCAGGTGGGAGGGATCATGCCTATAGGTATGGRCACATGAAACTACCCAGAGATGAATTTGCAGCGATGAGGAAGGTGGACTTGCATAAGGAGTTGTGTCTCCCCTGGATAAGTGGGTTTTGGGGAACTAGAAGGCATATCCCTTTGGAATGGAAGCTTGGGGTTCTCAGGTGATTGGGAGAGGTGGCTGTGGCTGTGGGCTGCTTGGACACAAGTGTGCATGTGCACGGGTACTCGTGTGCATGCTGGGCTGTTTGTCTAATCTGGAGGTGGTTCAGATTCTTCAAGGAAAAACATTCCCTTTTGCAGTGGCAAGAACAAGGGACAGTTCTCTGCCCCTCCTCCCAAACCCTCTTTTCCCTTCCCCTTGTCCAGATGCCTCAAGGCTGAAGGAGAAACACTGTATCCAGACGGAGGGCTCTGGCACTTCTCTGCAGAAAGTTGTTGGTAGGGCTTTGGAGAGAAAGCAATTCTGCAGCTGGCCTTGTTCCTTCATTACCCATTTTCCTGTGCATCATGAACTTCCTGCTGCCTCCTGGGCTCTGACGGAAGTGCAGGGCTCTGGAGCCTGGGCAGGTGAAGGCTTCTTCAGTAGCTGGATATGCCTGCTACCCTCCCCTCCCACTGGGGCACAATGGTGCCTAATAGCTCTGGGACCTCTGTACCCAAACTGAAACTCTAAATTGGGGCTCAATTTTCCTTTTGAGGATGTAGACATAAATGCTGATCTAGAATATAGTCTGGGTCCCTCACTATTTCTCAGTGAGACTGTTGATTCCTTGAAAAGACCATTCTAGCTTGAGCCCTGTGGGGTGAGGGTGACAGGTACTCCATGACTGGGCCTATTCTGTGTTGTGGGCTTTGGTGCTGCTTTATCAGGGGCAGGTGTATGGGTTTGAGAGTACCTACCACGATCTGGAAGCATTTATATTTCATTGAAGCCACGCTGTTTGCATGGGTGTTGTTTGTCTGTACCTCAGAGTCTGAGGATGCTAACTTTAGAACTCACAGTCCTCTAGAACAGATTCAGGCTATAGCTTTTTCTTTTAAAGAAGAAATGATTCACTCCAGATGCATGTCCTGAGCCAGACCTCACTGCTGCACTTTCCAAGGTGCTAAAATTTGCTGCTCTCCAATGCTGACTTCATTCACAGTGCTCTAGAACCCTACCCATAATCCTGAGCACTGATCAGTTTAGCTAGACATGGTTGACTCTTCTTGGAGATTTTTACTTGGTCCCAGAATATGGCAACATGGATGTGTTTGTTAGAAAGTGGGACCAAATTGGCCTCAGGTGTTTAGTCCAGACTTTTGCTTTTGAGAGAGGGCTGCACTTTTTAATGGTCTCTATGGGGGAGGTGGTAGACTGCATATGCCACTTGGTCTGTTGTGAGTATGCTGATATCAGAAACTCAGAGCTGGTCTATGGCAGGCAGTTGGGGTGGGGGGTCTGACTTGCTCAGGACTAACTAGGCCAGTGGTTTTCAAACTGCTTGGCAGAGCCCCAAAGTATCCTAGGGGTTGCCTCAGGAGTCCTTGGGGAGATGAAGGGGATGGGGGCTGAGCAGGCTGGGCAACTTGTCCTCAAACAGAACAGCTCCTCTTGTAGCTGTCTTACATATCGGGGTTCAGGGTAAGATTTTATTTGCATTAAGGGTTTTGCTGCTGAAAAATAAAAGTTGGAAAACCACTGACTAGACCATCAGCTCCAAATTGGAGCCTGTGCTCCCCAAGGTTTGGGGCAGACTCTTCACTCTACCCTCTACCACAAGATACTTATCTGTGTTAGCATTCCTGGGGGGCTTTAGCAAACTGGGGCAGCAGGGACCATGATCAGGTTACCAAAGTGCCCCATTCTGAGGCCTTCACACCTGGGTGGAAGGAGAGGCTTTTTTATGAAAGGGTAAAGGGCTTGGTCTGGATTCCCAGAAGCAGAACTTGGATGAGATCACAGTGGGCAGTTTTGACCTGTTTTGCCCTTCTTAGTTTGAGGAGCAGTGGAAACCCCAGAGACTCTTCTGTCAGGGAAAACTAGGGACTCTCTTCTAGAGCCATATAGTTCCTTGGGATTAGCTCTTGGCCAAGAAGGCTGAGTATGGCTCCCAGTTTTTAAATTCATTTATTGTTTTTTAATGAGGAAAATAAATGTAATGGCCATTTTTCAAAGATTAAATAGGTGGAGAGGGTGTTTCTTGCTCTCCAGAGCCCAAAGGGACAAATAGGGACTTTGCTTAGGTCAAGGAAGGACTGGAAGTAGGGCAACTGGGTCCTGCGATTATTAATCGTACTCCCCACTTATTGTAGGGCATACATACACTATTTTACTTTTTTAAATCATAAAACGGCAGGAGAACAGATTTGGTTAGTTTAGAAGAAAAGAAAAAGCTCTATAAATATAAATATATATTCCTGTATTTTTATTTAATAATTTATAAATATCAAGTTCATTTGACTTTTATTTTTGTGTAATATGTAATGGTCGTATTAAAAAAATAAATAAAGCCCAGAAGTTTAATGAGAAGGACTGAACAGGGTTTTGTGACTTTATATTGTATAACTGGGGTCAGAACATTCCTCGATCCAATCATCTGTTCGTGATATTGCTAAGGGCAAGAATTAGAGTTATAGGATTTTGGGAAACTGTTGAGATTAAAAAAAAAAAAAAATCAGAGTTGTTCTACCATCTTCCTCACCCCACCCCTATTCTGGTCAAGTACCCAAAGCCAAGAACTCCATGTATCCCAACCCAAGCTTCAAGAGGGTGTAGGTATATGGTACTTTGGGACCGCCACAAACAAAAAATCAAAACAAAGAAAACCTCCCTAAAATCTTTATGCAAAATCAACTCCCCAGCTATTGTTTGGCCTCAAATCAGAAGTGTGTGATAATGATCCTTTCTCACTGATGCCTACTTCAGATTTAGAATATATCTATCAGAAACGGAGCTCCTGCTTTCTTGTCTAGTCCCCAGAGATATTTGGTTTCAGCCATTTCACTGCAAACTGCTAATTGGATGGAATCTCCAGGATTATTCAGTCCATTCCGCTCTGTACCTCTAGTTAGGACCACATCAAAATCATTTCTGACAGGAACCGTGATTTTAATTTTAAATTTCAAATGGAAATTTCTGATCTTTCTATAACCCAGTGCAATAAATTGATGTTTGGGTTTATGTGTTAAATTGTGAGAAATAATTGCTTAGAGGAATCTAGTATTGCCTTTCTACTCTCTCCCTATAGGAAAATCTACAAAAGAAGCTGTAGGAAAATCAGAGAGTAGCCTGGTGAATACACACTAAGAAAAAGGAAATTAGATATTCTTAATATCATCAGGTATGATAGCTAGTGCTTCTATCTGTGTTGCAGTGTGTTTTATATTTACCTAGTTCCAAATAATTTTGAAACATTTTAATATACAAAAGAAAAAACAAAGAGAAAATAAAATTATTTTTAAGTATGGGTAAAGGGAAAATTGAAATATTATAGTGAATTTAAGTAAAAGGAAAATTAATACACAGAAGAACATCCTATAAGTAGTATTCCCAAATACAAAAGCCAGGCTATGAATTTGGCTCTCAGCTTGGCAGCCAAAGCAAACTGAAAAATATAATGAGGTTCACATTCCTTTTAGGACTTAAAAACCAATCAGTAGGGCTGGGGTTGTGGCTCAAGTGGTAGATGCTCACCTAGCATGGGTGAGGTACTGGGTTCGATCCTCAGCACCACATAAAAATAAAATAAAGATATTGTATCCAACTTAAAAAAAAAATCAGTTACTCAAGAAGAGCAAAAAGTTCTGTGACTTTTCCAAGAACGCAATTGGTGATATGGTTGACACCATTCTTTATAATACCTAACAGCAAATATGATGTTGAATTCTATACCACTATTTCCTCTAGAAACACAAACAGGGATTTAGAAGGTCTGTCAGGCTCATAACAGTTTGGCCACATATGCTGCTTTATGATGGTCTGATTTAGTTAGGGTTAAACTTCAGTCTATCCAAAGGACAGATGGATTAGTTTCCCTTCAGACAGTTCTCCATAAGTGCTATTTCTCCAAATGGCACTTTAGTTAAAGTCAAGCAACATTTAGTTATAATTTCTAGCAAATGGATTAATTGTAGATGTTCTGTTATCACTTAATAGTAGGTCCTTTGAAAACTTAAAAGACTGCCTTAAATGTGAACATAGGTAAATATATAAATATATTAACTTTTAAAACTCAACCAGAAAACATAATAGAGTGCTATGCAGTTGTTTTTTTCATTCATCATTCATTCACACAGAGCAAATATTTAARCATCTTCTGTGTGGGAAGCACAGTTCTAGGCACTGACGTAAAGTGAACAGACAGACTCAGATCTCTACCTGCATGTTGCTAACATTCTAGGGAAGGAATCAAAAATGAACAAAATTCCATAATATTTTAGAAGGTGATCAATTCTATAAAGAAAAATAATTGAAGGATGATGGAAATATGTTTGTAGATATTCTTACATTTTAATTAATAAAATTTCAATCTTAATTAATTTTAATTTAGAAATTAAAATACTAGAGATTAAACCCAGAGGCACTTTACCATTGAGCTACCTCCGTAATTCTTTTTATTTTTTATTTTGAAACAGAGTCTCACTAGGTTACCCAGTCTGTCCTCAAACTTGCAATCCTCTTGCCTCAGCCTCTGAATAGCTGCGATTATAGGTGTGTGCCACTGGGCCTAGCTAGATTTTAATTTTAAAGAGTGGTCAGACAAGCCCCTATTTTCTAAAGGGATGATTTTTAAGTAAAAACATGAAAAATAAAATTAGAGAAATATATTATTGAAATGGAAAGATGTTTCTGTATTTTATTGCATAAAAAAGAATATCTGTGGACTGGGGTTATGGTTCAGTGGTAGAGCATTTGCCTAGCACGTGCAAGGTGTTGGGTTCGATCCTCAGCACCACTTAAAAATAAATAAATAAATAAAGACTATCTGTTAGAAAATAACATCATATGATATGATCCTTTTTTTTTCTTTCTTTCTTTTTTTTTTTTTTTTTTTTTTTTTTTGTAGTCCTGGGGATTGAACCCAGGGCCTTGTGCTTGCGTGGCAAGCACTCTACCAGCTGAGTTATATCCCTAGCCCACTGATCCCATTTTGGAAAAATATATGTGTATGTATGTGCCTCTTTGTATTTATAGTTTGAACATTTTAGGAAGAGTATATGTTAAGATATCAGTAGTGATTATCTTTGGGTGGCAGAKTTTATGAGTGATTTTTGTTCTTTTTGCTATCAGTATTTTCTGATGTTTTGATGATGAACATACACATATCTGGTATGGTACATTAAAGCTAGTATTTCAGTTACAAAGTTTTTAAAAAGTTAACCAGTCAGAATGGAAATTAAGCAGTCCTGCATAGATTCCTTCACATTTAAATGGACAGTCCCCTACTATCAAGGACAGAGCTAGGGAGTTGATATATGAAGACCAGACCATGGTAGAAGATAATTGGGATCTGCTATAAAACAGAGGTAAGTAAAAATAAAGGTTTCAAAGTTCTGTTAGCAATGTCCAATAGAAATAAGATATAAGCCACAGATGTAGTTTTCTGTGATCTACTAACATCATTAAAACTACAAAAAAGAAACAGGTAAAACTAATTGTAATAGTATTTTATTTAGCCCATGTATTAAAAATATTATAATTCCAATATTAATATTAAATAACTATTAATAAGTTATTTCATATACTCTTTTTCATACAAAGTTATAATATTTTGGTGTAGTTTACATTTTCAGCACATCTCACGTGAGACTACACATTTCAATTGCTCCATAGCCACATATGACTAGTGACTACCATATTAAACAATGTTATTCTAGATCATAGATTATTATAGTCTGTGAAAATTTCAAAGCAAATATTAAAAGTAGGTATGAAACTACCCAGAAACCAAATATTTATGTTATCTACTGACAAAACTTTTCCCTTTTGAACAGAACTAGAGATATCTTCACTCATTTTTACCACTTAATTATCCTTTTCTCAACTCCACTGACCTCTCCTTCTATTAACACATTTTTTTTTCCCCTCTTCTGGATGGGGCACTGGAATTTCAGCTTTTCCAAAACTATCATCCTTTATTTATAGCTTATAACTTAAGGAGAAGAATGCTCATAATGATGAAACTCTTAACATTACATATGAATTCTTAAAAATTTATTTCAGAGAAAAACTCCTTGATAGTCTCTTCATCAACATGAGGCAAAATATTAAATAGGTTCATTCATTCAGTTAACATTTATAGAGTACAGAATGATAGGCAAAGGGAATACAAATATAATTAAGATATCCCTTTTACCACTTACAATCTCATAGGGAAAGAGAAATCACATTCAAATATCCTTTTTTTAAATTGATTTTTTCATATACATGTTTTTAGTTGTTGATGGACCTTTATTTTATACATTTATTTATAGGTGGTGCTGAGAATTGAACCCAGTGCCTCACACATGCTAGGCAAGCATTCTACCATTGAGCCACAACCCCAGCCCTCAAATATCCTTTTCAATGTGTTTGTTTGTTTCTTTGATAAAGTAATCATGCTTATTAGAAAAAGTGTGCAAGTTGGAGCAATTTTTTAAAATTATGTGTTAATTTTGAAAAATCATAACGGAAAATTATAAAGCAGAAAATTAGCTGGGTGTGGCAATGCATGCATGTAATCCTAGTGGCAGGAAAGTCACAAATTCAAAGATAGCCGCAGCAACTGAACAAGGCTCTAAGCAACTTAGCAAGACCTCGTCTCAAAATAAATGAAGAAAAGAGCTGGGCATGTGGCTCAGTGGGTGAGTGCTGCTGGGTTCAATCCCTGGTACCAAAAACAAAAAAAAAAAACGAAGAAAATTAATCATAATTCTACTACCAGAGAGAACTACAACTAACATTTTGGTTTATTTCTTTCCAGTCTCTTATCTGTGGTTTTGTGATCATACTGCACATATAATTTTGTATATAATTCTGCTTACTATTATATTGCAAGCATTTTTCCTTGTCATTAAAACATTTTCAAGTCCTAATGACTATATAAAATTACATATATGTGTGTATAATAATTTTATTCCCACTAGGACATTTTAAGTGGTTTATTTTTTTATGTTTTTTTTTTACTCTGATAAACATCTTTGTTCATATGTTAATCAGTTTTTCCTTTTGCTTTGACCAAAATATCAAACAAAAACAACTGAGAAGAGAAAAAGGTTATTTTGGACTCACAGTCTCAAACCCCAAGTGACCTATTTCCTTTAGCCACACCCCACTGCCTATAGTTACCACTCAGTGGTCCCTTTAAATTATTTATTCATCAAATGATTACTCTACTGATGAAGTTAGTTTTCATGATCTAATCATTTCACCTCTGAACATTCCTACATTGCCTACCACAGAGCTTTTGGGAGGACACCTCATATCCAGACCATAACAATTCACAATTGTTTATTCACCTTTTGATTCCGTCTTAAGAACCAATTATAAGAAATAGAAT